AAATAAATAAATAAATAAATAAATAATTTTAATTTTTGATTACAGTCAATGTATATGAGATGATTCAAATTTTCTACTTATTTTCATTTCCATTTAGTAAATTGTATATGTGGAGATTTTGTGCATTTCATCTACATCTTTGACAAAATGTTTATGATGATTATGAAGTAAACAAAGATGCAAAAAACATGTGAAAGACCAATGTGATAGGCACAGTCCTAGACTCTGTGCATCAAAGTCACAGTCTATAAGAGGGTAATGGAGTATAGGTTCATGGCATAAAATGTATCTTCACTAAAATAATTGCAGAAAAATTCTCTGCTCTGGGGGATGAGATGGATACCCAGGTAGAGAAGGCACTTAAAACTCCAAATAGACATGACCAGAAAAGAACCTCTCCATGACACATCATTGTCAAGATACCAGAAATTGAGGGCTTGGGATTTAGCTCAGTGGCACAGCACCTGCTTGGCAAGTGCGAGGTTGTGAGTTCGATTCCTGGTACCAGAAAAAAAAAAAAGATACCAGAAATTTACAACAGCGAAAAAATATTGAAATCTATTGGAACAAAACACTTATGGTTAAACCCAGCAAAGTAACAGTAGACTTCGCAACCAAAACATTAAAAGTCAAGAAGGTGTGGAACAATATATTTGAAGTCATGAAAGAAAATAATTGCTAACCCTGCAAAGCTATCCTTCAAAATTTGAGAAGACAAAACCTTCCATAATAAGTGTAAACTAAAAATATTCTTGACCACTATGTCAGCATTGCACAAAATACTTAAAGAAATCCTAAACACAGACAAGAAAGACAACAACAACCAACAGATCAAGAAAAGAATAAATCTCATTGGGAGATGAATAAAAAACAGAAATTAATCAAAACAACAAAATGACATAAGTACATCCCTTTTAGTAAAAATGCAAATGTGAATGATCTTAACTCTCCAATTAGGGTATAGAGCAAGTCTCAAATACAAAAGAATTGATAAAAACCAATATCCACCTATATATTGCCTACAAAAATCAAACCTCATCTGCATAGACCTACAGATAGTGAAAGTGAAAAGGCAGAAAGTGACCCTTGGAACAGCTGGAGATGGAAAGCAAGTAGGAGTAGCTATGGTGATATAGGACAAAGTAGACTTCAGACTGAATTTGGCCGAGAGACACCACAGAGAGCTGGTACATATTTGTACAGGGCCCAGTTCAAGAAGAGGTAAGAGTTGGTAAATATGGATGCACCAGATGTCAGCTTACCCAATTTCATGCACCACACACTACTTGACATAAAAGGACAGAGCAAGACCCCTCAGACATAGCTAAGGACATCACCCCACTCAAATAGGGCAACCAGACAAAAAAATCAACCCAAAACATCAAAATTAAATTATACTATAGAGCTAATGGACTTAACAATCCAAAGCGTTCCATCCAAAGGTAGTACATATCTTCTCTTCAGAAATTGATGGAAGTGCTCCCAAAATACACTGTGTCTTAGGGAATGGAGCAAGTGCCAAATGCAAAAGAATTGAAGTAATCTCATGCATCTTATCAGATCGCAGTGGACAGAAAGTGGAAGTCAGCAGCAAACCTTTCAGCAAAAGTAAAAATTAGAAACTACACAAACAAATGGATATTGAGGAAAACACTTGAACAACAGCACGTCCTTGAAGACATCATGGGAGAAATTTTAAAAGTTGTAGACTCAAATGATAATGAAAACAACATATCAATCTGTGGGATGCAAAGCAGCTCTAAAAGGAAACTTATGACTGCCCACAGTAGAAAAACAGCAATTTCAAATAAATTGATGCATTTCAAAGTTCTAGGGGTAAAAAAAAATCCCCAAATAGCAGAAGAAATCATAAAGATCTGAGCAGAAATCATGAACTTGGTAAAAATACAAAGGATCAATAAGTCAAATGATTGGTTCTTTGGAAAGACAAGCAAGATGGATAAATCTTTAGTCAAACTTACCAGAAGAGAGAGAAGGTTGAAATTAACAAAAAGGATGAAACTAAAACATACACAGTTGCAATCCAAAGGATTATAAATTATTTTGGAAGCTTTTTTGTGCCAATAAATTGGAGAATATGGGAGAAATGGATAAATTCTTAGACATATATGACCTGTGTAATTTGAACCTAGAAGAAATTAAAAAATCTGAACAGATCAATAATCAGTGATGAAATTGGTGTGGTAATAAAAACTCTAATAACTAAGAAAACTCCAGTACTGGATAGATTTACTACTGAATTTTACCAGATCCTTGAAGAATTAACACCAATCTCCTCAAACTATTCCATGAAATAGAAAAGAAAACAATGATTCCAAGTTATTCTACAAACCAGAATGATGCTGCTACTAAAATCAGTAAGACTCCAGAAAAAGAAAGCAAGCTACAGAACAATATTCTTGCTAAACACAGATACAAAAATCCTCAAAAAAAAAAAATCTTGCAGAATTCAAGAGCATATTTATAGAACATGCAACATGTGACCAAGTTGTTTTCTTTCTAGGGATAAAAGGATGGTTCAACATACATAGTTCATTAAATGTAATACACCTCATAAATAGAAAAACATCACATATCAAGAGATGCAGAATAGCCTTTGAAAAAATTCAATATCCCTGAAAAAAGGATGAAGTCATGTTATCCTTATTTACAGATGATATGATCCTTTACTTAGAAGACTAAAAACTCACCAGAAGGCATGGATACACAAATTGAACAGAGGGAAAAATACAAAATCAACATACAGCAGTCAATAGGTTTTCCTAGCACACGAGTAAGTAACTCTCTGAGAAAGAAATCAGGAAAACAATTCCATTCACAATAGCTTAAAAATAAACAAAACACTTGGGGATAAGCCTAACCAATGAAAGGCTTCTACAGTGAAAATGACAGAACTCTGAAGAAAAAGACATTAGAAGATGGAACGACCGCCCTTGTTCATGGATCAGTATAATTAGCATTGCTGAAATGGGCCTATTAGCAAGAGGACTATACAGATTGAATGCAGCCCTTGTCAAAATATCTATGGAACTTCACAGACTAGAAAAAATCTCAGAATTCACATGGAATACAAGAGGCCCACAATAGCCAAAGCAATCCCAAGCAAAAAGAGTAGTGCTAGAGGCATCATACTACCTGACTTCAAAATATACTGCAATGCTGTAATAACAAAAATATCATTATACTGGCATCAAAACAGATGTAGACCAATGGAATGTAATAGAAGGCAGAGAAACCCACAGAATGACACCACTTGATTCTTGACAAAGGTCCAGAGAATATATTAAATGATGGAAGGAAAACCTGGATGTCTATGTATATGATTGATACTACATCCATACCTCTCACTCTAATTCAAACTCAATTCAGAATGGATCAAAGACCTGGGTATAAAACCTGACACTTGGAAACTGTTAGAAGAAAACAGAAGATATTGTGAAAGGGAAAGAAACTGCTCAATAGGAAAGAAGAACTGGGATGAGAGAAAGGAGAAAAGAAAGACAGAAGGAAAGGAAAGAAATGTGTATATATACACAATATAGCAAAGATAATTGTACTACTAATTTCTCTTGGTTTATTGAAAGGAACAGTTAATGTGTAATGGCTTGATCGATCTTGTACACCTATATCTGGTAATTTGAGTGTTATGGTTTGTGTCTGGGTGTCCCCCCAAAGCCTCATGCGGTCATGGGGTAGGCTTTTAGAGTTTGATTGATTATGGGTGTGAGACCTACACCTGCGCTGGTGGGGATAGTTTTGCATATGTAAGGGAGAAAAAGAGGATGCTTGCTGCCAGTCCTCTTTTTTTGAGTTTTTAATTTTTTTCTGGTACTGGGAATCGAACTCAGGACCTCGCGCTTGCCAGGCAGGTGCTGTGCCACTGAGCTAAATCCCCAGCCCCCTACTCCTCTTTTTTTGCACTTTTTGCTTTACTGTGTTCCGTGCCATGAACTGTAGCCCTCTGCCATGCGCCACTCTGCTTTGTAGCCAGCCAAGTAAGGACTGAAACCTCCGTAAACTGTAAGCAAAATAAACCTTTCCTTCCTTAATTCTGGGCATCAGGTATTTTGTCTCAGCAGCGAGAGAAAAGTAACCAAGACGTTGAGCAACTACTGTGAAGATAACAAGAAGTAATACAACAACCATTGTTGATTTCCTAGCACCTTGTTTTGGAATTTTGCATCATTTTTACAGGTTTTTTTTATTGTTTCGTTATTTTGTTTTTGTTCTTTTCTCTTTAAAATTAAAAGAAAATAAAAAAAGAAAACAAATAATTGAGTTCATAGACACAGGAAAGACTTCCTCAACATAACTCCAGTAACAGTAGAAATAATATCAAGAATCAACAAATGAATCCATACCAGATTTAAAAGCTTCTGCACAGCAAAGGAAATAATAAAGTGAAGAGATAGTGCACAGAATGGGAGAAAATCTTTGCCAGCTACTCTTCTGATGAGGATCAATATCTAGAATTTTTTTTGAGAAACTCAAAACACTTAACATTAAAGAAGTAAGTAGCGCATTCAGTAAATGGACAAATGAATAGACACTTCCCAAAAAATTGCAAATGGCTGATGAAAATATGAAAACAATGTTCAACATCTTTAGCCATTAGAGAAATGAAAATCAAGCCTGCATGAATCGAGTTTCCACCTCACCCCAGTCAGAATGGCTATCATTAAGGATACAAAGATGAATACAACAATAAATAGAATACAACAATAAATGAAATGATAAAAGAATACAACAATAAATGCTGGCAAAGATGTAAAGGAAAAGTAACCCTTATACCCTGTTGGTCAGTATTAAACTAGTGCAGCCACTACGAAAACTAGTATGGCTCTTCCTTCAAAAACTAAAAATAGTGGTACAGGGGTTGGGGATTTAGCTCAGTGGCAAAGCGCCTGCCTGGCAAGCGGAAGGTCGTGAGTTCGGTTCCCGGTACCGGAGAAAAACCAAAAAATAAAAAAATAAAAAAATAAAAATAAAAATAGTGGTACCACTGGACCCAGCTTTACCACTTCCAGTATGTCCCCCAAAGAATTAAAGACAGCCCACTAGAGTGGTATACCCATGACTTTGTTTATTTCCGCACAGTTCTCAATAGCTAAGCTCTGGAAGCAGCCTAGGCACACACCAATATAGGAATGGATAAAGAAATGTAGCATAACACACAGTAGAATATTATTCAGCCATTAAGAATAAAATTATGTCACTCCATGACATGAAATGGGTAGAATTCAGTCTCAGAAGCTCAAGTATCACAGGTTCCTCCATATATGGAATTTTTTAAAATTTAGAGGTAAAAAAGATGACAGGAAAGTAGAAGAAAGATTATGACAGATAAGCAAAAAGGGAGGGGACAGGCAGGGAAATGGATGAAAATTAAATGTCACCGGCATGTAGCGATATTTCAAAATTACATCCATTCTGTGAAACCAGTATGCACCAATAATTAAAAAAGAACTGGCTGAGTTTTTCATTTTAAGCATTTTCCATGCATACTCTTAAAAAAATACCAGCCATGTAACACACCTGTGAATTTCTTTGGAGGGTGGAGGAAAAATTAATTTTGAATTATTTAATTTTCAAAATGTACAATTGTATTAAGGCGTACGGTGTTCTATGTTGATATGTGCTTACATTTGCTCCCATGGAAGTTACTCTGCTCTGCCCGAGTCCGTGGACGCGACCATGAATTGAGGCTTGTTACTGTATTTTCTGAGTACAAGCACTCATCAATTAACGTGAGACACTCTCGCCCTCTCGTGGTTGGCAATGGATTTATTCGCCTTCCAGGGCCGGCGAATTTACCTGGCTTTGCCGGCCCTCCCGCCAGGTCGCCGCAGCAGCCAACGACAGGTGAAAACGCACCTGGGGGGCATGCGCATGCTCAGAAAGGAGTAGCAGCCAGGCGAGGACATCACAAGCAGTTTGGACCCTCGGTCTCTAAAAGGTTCGCCCTCGCTGCTTTAGACCTGGCACCCTCACTGGAGGGGCTGAAAAATACGCCTTCATGAAGGTGGTGAGAAATGCTCTGTGAGAAGAGGCCTGGAGTCCCGAAGAGCTGTGCTTCCCCCGTGGGCTGGAACTCACAGTGGGAGCGCCGCCCTGGGGCTGAGAAACCCCTCAGGCAAGACGCGCGTGGTGGCCCTCGCCGCCAGCGGAGGCAGAGGAGCCATCGCAGCCGTCCTGATCCCCGGACAACTGTGGCAAGTCGTGGCTCCTCTGTCACGTCCCAGACGGGGACAGATGCCACCCACCCAGCCCGGGCAAGGCCCAGGCCTTCTGGGAAAGTGCGAGGGCTCACTCTCTCCCAGCCCCCTTCAAGGTTCCGGTGGCATTTACAAGGGCAGGCGCGCACTGGGGAGACAAACAGAACTGGGAGGGACTAGTGCCCGCGGCTGTGAGGCCAGGTTCATCCCAGGGCGTCTGGAAGAGTGCTGCCGCCAGCCAGTCAGGGCAGGGGCTTTGGAGGCCCCGCGGTCGGTAGCATTTTATCTCAGGTCTGCCTCATAATAAATCCAGTGGGTCCCCAGCCCCATCCTGTGGGCATTTGCCCAATTGCAGAAGGCGTAACTGGAACAGAACCGCCTAACGCCTGGCAGAATCCCCATGCGGGTTTCCTGACCCGCAGAAAGCAGCACAGCGGCTAGGGGGCACCTTTACGCTCCGAGGGCTGCATGTTCCCCCTTTGCGGGTGGCACCCCAGCCCATGCGCTGAGTGACCAAAGAAGAAGCCGGCACCGAGGGGCACCACGAATAGGAACAGGCTCCGCTGGACATCGCTGTGCCACACAGGCTGGGCGACACGGCGGAACCACTGTGCCTGAGGTGTCTGTGACAAGTGGAGGTGCTGTTGGGGGCCTCTGGTACCCGCCGTAGGTGAAAAACAGCGTAGGCCTTTAGGCTTTCGGAAAAAGGCTTTGTCATCCTGTGCGGATACTCTTTCCAGAAGCCTAATACCAGGCCTTAGCAAAAACTGCGTACTGCCCGAGCTGAGTTATGCCGCCCGAGCTCCCCGTCATGATCTGGGTGTCATCTGACCCACTCATCCACCAAGGTGGGCGTGCACAGCAGCACGTCATCACCATGGAAGTGGTACGGACGTGACCACATCTGCACAGGCCCTGAAGGCAAAAGCGAGTTACGCAAAGTGGCCCGAATGCCTGCGGTCCCCACTCCTGCTACACTGCCTCCCTGTCGGTCCTGCACCTGCCGCCTCACCGGGAGCCCTCTGCGAGCTAAGGAAGGGAGAGTCAAGCACGGCTTATGAGTGTCCTGCACAGCGTGAAGGCGATGCCTAGAAGTGGACCGCTGCAGCACCGCTGTCCATCCCCAAGATGTCCCTGAAGGACAGTCTGTCTGCAGGCAGAGCTCTGGGGCGTGCACCTTCCTGGCTGTGCACTTTTCTTGGGAGGGGCGATGGCCAGATGTGTGCTTACATCTCCACGCATAATCTGTGGCCAGTTGTTTGCGCGGATGACCAGGGATTTCTTAGGAGCACGACTGGAAAAAAGGGATGACAAATTTGGGTGAGGAGAGGGCTGGGGATTTAGCTCAGCGGCACAGCGCCTGCCTGGCAAGCGCAAGGTCATGAGTTCGATTCCCGGTACCGGAAAAACAAACAAACAAACAAACAAAATTTGGGTGAGGAGAATGTGGACAGACATCTCTGAGTGCGCAAAGGATGTAAAGTTTGTGTCCCTTCTGAATGCTCAGAGAAAGGGGACCTCTGCAGAGGAGCATTTTAATGCCAAGTGAATAGTGTTATCCTGTTGTGTAGACGCTAATCGGCTTCTTCCAGCCACCTCTGCCATGGCCCAATGGACTTATGAACAAGGTAGCCGTGCTGACAGATGGAGGTTGTTTATTCCAAAGGGAATGTTCCACTAGGATTCACAAGAATAAGTTGCCATTAAACTTGAAGATGCCACCCGCCATGTTGGTCTCCTGCAGCCTCCAAAGCAAGAGCCAAAGTGGGGGGAGTTTGGAAATTGGCTGTGGTGATTTATCCTGATTATTGGGGGGAAAATGGACTATGACTCCACAATGGAGGTGAGGAAGAGTATGTCTGGGAAGCAAACGATCCCTTTTCGGCAACGCTCAGTACATATTGTCATGTTCTGTGGTTAAAGTCAATGGAAAACTCAATCTAGACAGGGCTACTAATATCCTAGGCCCTTCAGGAATGAATATTGGGGTCACAAACCAGTGAATGGCTATTTAGGGAAAAGGGAATACAGAACAGGTAATGGGAGACTGTAGTTATAAACATCAGCTGTGCCCCTGTGGCCACCTATGGAAATAAGAGCTGTAGTCTGAAGTTTTTATTTCTATTTCGTTGTTAATAATTTACAGCTTTATGTTTGATTTTATATATAGATATATATATTACATGTATGTGATCATATGGGTATCAAAATATATCACATCCTGCAAAGGAGACCACTGGAGATCGGTCTGCCCTCTGAGGTGGAGGCCCCAGAGCTCAGACCCATGCTACCAGTTAGTCCAACAGGAATGAGAGGG